CAAAAAACAATGAGTCATGACATGAAATGGTCGAAAACTTGTGCATATCACTGTCAAGTACGAAACACAGAGGGGCTTATTAGACCCCTTTACTCTTGCTACCCCCTCTAAAAACAAAAGGTACGAGCCGGATTAATGGCTATTAGGACACAGGCATCTAAAGCTGATTCGACTAAATTATTGCCCTAGATTCAAAAATTGAATTTAGACTTTTTATGAAGAGGAGAGATTAATTTTTATTGCTAATATTATAGAGGAAAGATGGATTAATATTCCGATCCTATATATTGATATGTTTTCTAATAGATACTCTACATTCACATTGTGATCGACGCTGTATATAGATATAACTAAATGTTTTATATATTTCTTAAATTTATAGTTTGAATACGGTATTTAAGGTCGATTAGCCCTAGGCCCCTAGCTAAGCTAGTCATACTTTTTTTTTTTTTTTTTTTTTAGAGAACAATTACAATATGCATAATTTTTATAGAACAAGCTAAGCTAAGTCTTAGACATGGCCTCGCTCGCAACGTCTAGGTCGATCATTACGACATCACAATCATGTAATTACTTTTTTTTTTTTTTTTTTTGACAAATTGTAATTACTTATTGGGTGAACATCTCATACAAATTTTTACTAGCACAAGCACAACCATATTATATCATCAAAAATATCCAATTACATTAAACATTGCCAAAGGAATCACAATCATATCACCTTTTGACATAAGAATAGGAAAATTTTTCTGATTATTCTTACAATTACTCTAACACTCTATGATTCAACAACTTTAACTAAGATTTTTTTTCCCTAGCTAGTAAGGTCTTAATCTACTTTCGCAAGTTCCGAGTATGAAATTATATAATTCGTCGGCATTATAATTGTTATTATGACTTTATTATAAATTATGTACATATAAATATGAAATAAATCAATCTAATAATTTTCATTTGATCTTAATGGACCGTGTGGAATAACTGTAAGTATACTGTATATTGATATAAAATTTTGATGGATGCCAGTTTGCATGAAAAGCCAGTAATAATAATAAGAGCATAAAAACAAAAACAATCTTTGAAATTTGAACCATTGTGTAGTACGAACTAAGGAAAATAAATGGGGTGAGATCAATAATTGGTGAGATAGCTAGATGGGATTGAAAAATAAATTTTGGATAGAATTGCTGTATATCTTATTATGAATAGTCAATATACTAGACAATATTAATTGTAAAGAAGAAAAATCACCTTATTTGAGAATAATCAATAAGAGCCAAAGAAAATAATTAAGGAATGAAACATAAAAAGCCAAGTACATTCTTGTCTACATATATATATAACTTATAGTTTTGATTTTAAAAAAAAAAAAATGTAGTCACAATGGTCTTGTATAATTAAACTTATTTTTGCGAACTTATTATAATTTATTTTGTGTATTAAAAATTATTGTAACTAGGCTCAGTTCTTTTTACTATTTTCATTAAACTTAAATTATTTTTACAGAATTGCAATTAAGTTTACTGAGCTGAGAATATTTTTTTTGAATTTTCTATTATATTTATTCTTCATAGTTACTGATTTATAGTGATCTGGAATTATTTTTACTGAATATTAGTTTTTTTTATTTTTTAAGGTGAAAAGAATAGGGCCTTATTAAGATTTATTTTTACCAATATCCTTTGCCAAGTGTTTTGGTTATAACCACCTAAAACTGATTTTTACTTGCTAAAAACTTATTCTTATTTGTTCAAAAAAATTTACTAATTATAAATTATGTTACTGTAAATATCTTTTCCAGGTGAAAAATATTGGCATATGTTTCAAAATAGTTGTCATGTCGATTTAACTTTAATATAATTAATGCTTTGACAAATTTTTACAAAAGATCTTATAATAATGAGCCCCTCGAAAGCTTGATTCAAAAAGACAAATTTTGTTTCTGCGTCTTCGAGCTATATATCCTCGGTTTAACTCTAGTCATTGAATAAATGTAACTTTGATGAATAATGACGTTCAATTATCAGAAACTGAATTTCCTAAACACTGGTTAACCACGGCGCAATTGAATTTTCTTTAATAACCTTTCAATTACTACATACGTAAACTGGTAATTGAAAAAACATATCAAAATCCCTTACTCTATAATAGTTTGGAAAATATGAGAACTTTTTCTCAAACATCCGAACTCGCACAGGTGACTATTTATTCTTAGTTCAAAACATTACCCGAAATAGCATATTGTTTAGGTAAGAAAAATTTCTGAAATAGTACTGAGTACTTCGACTTCGAATATCTAGCACCTTACAAATATGGAAATATGTGTTACATTATTATATATACTCATCTCTCGTTCCCTCCCCATAAAACTTCCTACCAATTTGTACTATTTCCAGAGAATTCAGTTTCTGAATTTCACCAAATTCCCACATGTTTATCAAGATTTTCAGAATCGTATACTCCACATAAATTTTATTTGTCAGTTATAGCTTTGTTGCATTTTGCTCAATTTATTTTATTTATTTATTTATTTTTACCAAAAAAATAAGTATAAAATGGTAATTTTCGTGACAGTTTGATGGTAAGTAAGTGGTGATCAGACTTATAAGGTACAATACAAAAACATTTACAGTATTACTACGTATGACATTATCTATGGTCAGGTGTGAAGGACAATGTATACGGATTCACCCTGCTCTTGTCTTTTGTTTCTGTCACTCTTTTTTCTATCCATTATTTTTATTTTTAATTTTTTGTAATGATGGAGCCAGTAAAAAAAACTTGCCAAGTTCCGTGATAAAGGCGGGTGATGAGAATCAATCCCAAAATCCCCTGAAATCGGAAGGGAAGCTCTAAGCACATACGGCCACGAGCTATCCCTCACTCTCGATCTTGAAGGTAAGAATAATGTAATGATGTAAAATCTTCATCTTTATTAGTGTTTGGTAAAGTAGTGACAGACTAATGACTTTTAATCCATTTGAAATAGTGAGGTACATGTGAAAGTAGCTAACTTAGTTTTGGAATACCTTTTACCAAATCTAACAATTAAGAAAATTTCCGGTTGATACTTTTATTATTTTAAACCTTTCATTTTAATTTATTTAATTTAAATCATCGATAGTTAATATAGTTGAACGTCAATATACGTCAAACAACTATTTTCACACCTCACAAAGAACCATTAGTCCATTAACCAGTAGAATAACGATAGCTAGTTTTGTCGAATAGAACGTCGTACTCTCATAATCACAATAATTTCGTACTATCTTCTCAAATCTCAATAATGTTTTTTCCAACATAATGCAGGGTAAATGACCCTTACTACTACTTCCTAGGCCACACTATATAACTCTATAATTTAAAGTATTTACTATGGTCAGATATACAAAATGTGGCTCCTAACCTTCATTCATAAGACCAAAGACAATCCAATTGAACCATATGACAATGACTCGATATGTCCCTCCAACATAAGGCTTGAATTCGGGTGTACCTATGATTTTTTATCTTAGTCAGTCGAGCAAAGAGCTGTTTGATAAGGAGAGTTGTTGGTTGCACCTTTTTTTTTTTTTTTTTTGTGTGTGTGGGTGTGTTACATAAGTTATTGGTGATTATTTTTCAAAGTAGGGGACTATAAGCTTGCTGTTGATACGGAGTAGCACCTGCGCAATATTGAGATGATTCTTATGACTTTTGACTATCACAATTTTTTAAAATGGACGGTTGAGATTATTTGTTTTTTTTATTTATTTTTAATTAGTAATTTTAATTAAAAATTATTTTTATCTTCTAGAAATTATTTTTTTAATATTTTCGAAATTCTAAATTAAAAAATATATATAAAATAATTAAAAAAATAATTTTGAATTAAAATTACTTTTTTTTTTTAAAGAATTGAATTAAAATTACTTATTAAAGGTAAATAAAAAAGCAAACAATCTCAGCCGTCCATTTTCAAAAAAAAAATTGTGATAGTCAAAAGTCATAAGACTACATTAGAATTTTCACAATATTGTCGTAATGGTAATAAATTTGTATTTGATTCTATAATAATTTGATCGGTAAAGCAATTATAATTTCAGTTATGTGCTGTTTTTTTTTTTTCTTTTATTTTTTTTATAAAAAAATCTATTATCCCACACGCATTACCAATTTAGACACCGTGTGAACTTTCTTTCAAAGAAAACTTGTTAACAATGGACTTTGATACACATGAGACAGCCCTTACAAAGTTGCACACATAAAAATTATAATGAGTTAATAAAGTACATAATGTAAAAGTTTGAAGTTTTTAACCAAAAAAGTCGGACTCTCAAATACGAGTTTAACAATTTTAATCCCTAAATTTCTTAGGGTGTCCATCCCAAAAATTGACTAAAAACCTTACGTGAACTGAACCTAATTACTAACTTTACATCATTGCTTAATTAAGCTTTTATCCTTACATCTTCGAGGGTGTCCATCCTACACCAGATGGTATCATGTTGAAGGGGGATAGTGCGAGAGTGTAAAATTACACTCGAGTATCTGCAAGACTGCAACTAATGAACTAATTATACATACTCGTTTTACTAGTACCATGCGAGCACAAAAGTATGATGAAAAATGTATAGAATTCCAGTATCATCCAGCCCTAAACTTTAATTAGATTTAGCACCCTAATTAATGGGCTTGCCTTTTCACACTCTAGCCTCACAATCTCCAGACTCCAGTCCTATTATGGCAAAGTATTTGGACCGCGCCATCTACCCAAGAGTTAGAATGTCCCATTTTAAACCCACACACTCAACTACTGCAAAAGACACTTTATTAATCTAAAATACAGGTTTGGTAGCACTTTGCTCATGTTCGGATGCACCTAGTAAAGCTTCTTATATTGCTCTGCTTATACCCTCGGGTCCAGTCTATTTGCTTTAACACAATCTGAGAAGAAAAGGCATGACAGAAAAATATGACGCTGACTGAAGACAGTTTGGCAATGCATAAGCCTGTTTCTCTTAGTTAAACAAGTGAAACTGATATAGAACTGCATACGTACAAATTGTGATGTTTGTGATGTCAAAGTTACAACAGGAGTGCCTGGCACCAATTCGCGACAACAGACAGCAACAGCTTAGTAACAAAAAATTTGTATTACTATGAATTTACAGAACCTACAACTTTGCTTGATGTTCAAAATTGGTGCTCCATAATTTGTGGTTCATACAGATATATCTTTACCAAAAAGATTAGCAATCCCCTTTGCAGGATCTGGTTGTTTTACAAGGGATTCACCAACCAAGACCTGCACATCAACTAATTTTATCAATTTTGAGTATATAAAAGATACACAATCATGCATCACATATGCAAGTTGTTATAAAAAATGTGAGGTGTATTGATGAGTTTCTACTTAGTAGCCAAGAATTTTTATTTTGTGCTCCAAATTTGACTAGAATCTGCTAATTGGTCCAAGTATCATGGTCACCTGGAGGCAGTTACAAATTATGATGAGATCAAACAGGCTCCCTCCCTCCACCCCCCCCCCCCCCCCCCTCCCCCACCCTCTCTTCCTTCAAAAAAAACTGATCCAAGATTTTAATAATTGACCTGATTGTTTATAGATTAGGAATTAACATAAGCTGAGCTTCAAAACAGTTAATAAATAGATGTATCCCAAAAGTTGGCTAGAAAATCATCACCCGAAAATGAGGTGATCAACATGTTAGAAACATCAACCCCCTTCGCCAAAAAGATAATAGTTCAAATGTGTATCAACCACAAGCAGTATCTCTTTGACACAAGAGGATGGCAGGGACATGACTCAGTCCAGTCTTTCTTATACCAGGGAGGACACAAGAGGATGGCAGAGACATGCCTCAGTCTAGGCATGAAATTGTTTCATAATCACACATGCACACTCATCCACTATGGTTACTCAGACTCTTCATTTTACCTCAAATACCCGTGTTGGACCCTCGACACTGAGGCATGGGTAGGACACTTAGACACTTCATTTTAGTTCAAAATTATGTAAATTATCACAAAATAGCTGATTCAGACACTTGGACATGTACTTGTGTAGGACTTGGGTACCCGAGTCCGAGTAACGAAACTCATCCATGTATAAGAACTTGCGTTCATGCAAAACAAGAACAGCTAACAAAATGATGCTAACGTAAATAGAAATCCAAATTTAATGATGTGACAAATTTGTGGAACTCACCGCTTCAACTCCAGCCTCTTGAACATAAGCAATATCAGCAGGAGTGAAAAGTCCAGACTCACCAACCACCTGATAATCAAGAAAATGCTTAGAATGATGGAAGATATAGGTTTTAGATGTTGATGAAATGATTGCCCTTGTAACAAATGAAAAATTTACAGTACACACCCCAAAGGGAAAGGATATTCAAGTCCAGACTCCAGAGAATAGATAGGAAAGAAACTCACAATAATGCCCTTTTCACGAATAATTTGTGTACGTCTTGCATCAAGAAGATTCCTTGTATTACTAATATCAACAGTGAACGTCTCTATAGATGAGCAAAGCAATGTTAACCTCTTAAAAACTCGTGTCTAATCCAAACAAAGAAATAATTGAACAAAAAAGAACTGTTCATGCAGCCATACAGGTCTGTATTTCTGAGTGGACTATAAAAATCTTACCAAGATTCCTATTGTTGATTCCCACCAATTTAATCCCATCTATTCCAAGCACACGATCCATTTCCCTTTCATTATGCACCTGATATGAACAACATATTTAGTCCCAAGTAATACTTAATAGTCCAAATATAAGCAATTAAGAATATCCTATTATAATATAATCATAAAAACAAGTTAAATCCTTTTACTTCAGATTTAACTCCTACAGAACATAAATCAATCTGCGTTGAGTTACTTGAGCTGCTGAGCCTGACCTGTCATCTAGGGTTCTATTGTAGCTCAATAACAAAAAAAAAAAAAAAAAAGTTAGCTAAGTATTAAAATTCTCCATACCCCAGATAAAAATTGGTGCTAATGACCTACAAAAGGCTAATCCTGATGAAAATAGTACTTCGATCTGATTGATTCATCTTGGACAATTAAGTAAATTAAAGAATCTATAGAGGTGTTACAGGCATGAACCAAGTTGCATAAGTTTTTACGGCGTTGCAAAAATAATCATGATCAGTATTTTAATTTTAAGCCAACTATAGGATAGCTCAAACTATCATTTCATACATAAAAGTGTAATGCGCAATAATTCAACCACATTAAAAAAATAAAAATGATTATGAAGTATAAAAAGAACGTAAATTTACCTCAACTAGTGCTGCTAGTCCCAGTATCTTGCATATCTTGATCATGTACTTAATGTCTAGATCAGTCAGAACACCAGCAATCAAGAGAACTGCATCTGCTCCTTTAGTCCTAGCATAGAATAATTGCCAAGCTTCCACTATGAATTCTTTGCATAACAAAGGACACTGCATTACAGAAATTCCATTACACCAATTTATTGTCGACTTATTAGATAAAGATCAGAGCTTCATATCAAGAAAGAACAGACAGTCCCAAAATCCCAGACCTTGATTCCAGCATTGCGTATAGCTGCCAGATTCTCATAGCTTCCCTATGTTCATAAATTCGTGAAAAAAGGAATTGGCATCATTTTGGTGCATAACAAGGTAATATTGGAAAAATAATTGAGTGGTGACATTACCTGAAAAAACTTCTTATCTGTCAGAACACTCAGACATGCAGCTCCACCTTTCTCATAAGCTTTTGCTATTTCAACCTGTATAAAAGAAAGTAAAGCTCTGAACCTAACATAATCTGTATTTGTATATATGAGAAAATTTGTGACTTACAGCTACTAGGATCATCATTTAGGCCATGCTATGAATTATCATAGCCTGAGCATCATAAATAGCATAAAGGAAGAAGATGGTGGTTTTTAATTAATAAACTGAATTACAGCAGTTTTGTATTATAGTTCCACTATCGAGAGGTGAATTCTCTCCCAATCTAGCCTTCTAAAGCTCACCCAATACATTCAACAATATTTAACACGCTTATATCTTTCTAACTAGCTCTATTTATAGAGCATTTCTCTAACAAATTAACTAACTTTATTATAGCTCTACTCCCTAAATTGCCCCTCTTCCCTAACACCAGTTCATTGCATTCAGAGCTAAAGATTGTTATCTTAAAGGACCCATCAGATATAAGAGGGGGTGGAGAGGATTGAGAAGCGATAGATCCCTAAACTCAACATTAGAAGTTGGAAGACTTGGAACTATTTACTAACCAATGTATGTGCCTAAACTGATAAAAGCACTAATAAGTGATATAAGACCTCTAAAAAAATAACAGGTACCTATATTAAAGGCAACCTTTCTCTAAAAATCATCATTCAACACTTTAACATGCATCAGAGACACAATATTAACCTTTTTGTTTTTGTATAAAAAATCAGTTGTATTTATGGCACATTATATATTCAGGGACTGTTCTGTTCACTTTATTTTCATTTATTTCAGGTTTAATAAGTTCATATAAGTTAAGATAAGTTCAGTTAAGGAAAAATAAGTTCAGACAAGTTCAATTCAGGAAAAATAAGTTCGGATAAGGGTTGCCTAAGTTCAAATTACAACTAAAATAAGTTTTAATAAGTTCAGATAAGTTAAGATAAGTTCAATTAAGTTAAATTAAGTTCAGATAAGTGAAAATCAGGTGAATAAAATACACCCTCACTATAATAATGATAATATTGCATTATATAGATGCTTCTTATATTCATTTAAACCAACTCAATTTAAGATAATATCATGCATGCACAATAAAAACTTTTATGAAATAAATACCAAGGTAATCATTTGTAGTTATTGCGGTGGATGGCATTATGGCCTCCTTTATTTTCAGATCAAGTCTTCAATTTACTACTACCTTCGTTTTTTTTAGTAAGACACGTTTTGACTTTAGCACTATTCACTCGCTCCCCATTGACCGTATTTTGTGCTTTGTATGTAATGAAAAATGTAGTCATGTGGGATCTTGTTAGATTTGTCATGATATATGCTTTCAAAATATCAACTTTTTATAATTTTTGTTTATCGGTAATTAAAGATATAAATGGTCGAAGTTATGCATTGCCAAACGTGACTAAAGAAACGTGTCAACTAAAAAGAAACGGAGGAAGTATTTAGTAGAGCCCTAGGCATATACCTTAACTACCTAAGGATTTAAATGGCCCCGCATGTCCTCCCGATTGACTTTCGCAGTCTACTTGCTATTGCCAAAACAAATAAACAAAAAAAAAACAAAGTCAAACCTTCTAAACTATTGCACATCAATGCTCACTAGCTGCTCTTGTTGAATCAGAGATCACCCAGCAGAAAGGCAGAAGATTAAACAATTATACAAAATGTGAAGACAACAATCATCATGTAAAATAATAATCCTCACAAAAAGACATTACGACAGCAAAAGTGGATGACTAAAAACGAATTTAGGATTCAATACTATATTAGGGAAACTAGGAAAAAAAGAATACCGGATCAAAGTCTTCTCTCAGAACACCTCTACTTGGTGAAGCTTTTTTTACTTCTGCAATTAAACCAGGCAATCCCGTTCTCTGTTGAGCTGCTCTCAGAGCACCAATGAAATCCCTCGTTGGAGGAGCAGCACCAAGGGCCTTCTTCAAAGAAACAAGGGGCTTTTTCTCTTTCCACTATGGAGAATTGAAAAGGGAAAGACAAAAAAAAAAAAAAAAGAGGAAGCCAGTAAAGAGTAAAGGTAAGATAGCAGGCAGAAAAAGGGGAAGGGGTGTCAAAAGTTTATGACTATCCTAGTTTACCTGTGCGAGTTCCACGTCCTTGTGCCATATAATTTCCTCCAAGATATTTCGTGGCGTATTGCCTTCACTTTGAATCCGAAACTCAAAAGGGCCAACATAGTGCATAGGGGGCCCTGTTGGCGGTCGTCTCCTGATTTTTATTCCTTGGGTAGCAGCTACTTCCTCTTGTAACCTCCCCACCTCCCAAACTTTCAATTTAAGGGCATTGTCTTGGGAATCACTCACGGGTGGCGTTACTGTAGCAGATGCTTCCCTGGAGTCAAGCTACATAAACAAACGCATTACAACTTTGGTTGCTTGTAGCATGAAAACTTGTAGCACGGTATAAACGTGAGACACTCTAAGCTCAAACTTATGCAAAAAATTCTAAAATCAACAATGAAGGCCACAATATAATTAGTTCCATTTCCAAGATATGCAAAAGGGTACCTGTTGAGCTCGAATCAAACAACCATTACGTTTACTAAAATTTGTTGATATATATGGAGAAGATCTTCTGACAGAGATTCGATATAATGCAACTCCGGGCTTGGTTGATACAGGCACTGGCCGCATCAGTGCTATAACACCCTCCATTAGTTAGCACTGCGAGGTTTTCAAAGTCAGTTAATCTTTATAACATTGAGTAAACTAGTGTATAGATAAATAATACACTGAATTTACATGCCTAAGGTGCACATAGAGGAACATTAAGGCTCACAAAAAGGAACACTACTGCTTTACTGTTTGTAGCCTGTTTTTACAAAAAAAAAAAATCTCTAAATTTAAAAATTGCACCTCATGGCTATGCAAAACCTAGGAATACACAAGTCAAGTGGGTGTGGGGTTCCATCCTACAACCATATGTCAATTGGAAGAGTAGCCCACACCTCACGTCTACGCAAGACCCATGAATACACAAGTCAAGTGGGGTTCCCTCCTAAATCCATACGTCAATAAGAAGAGTAGCCCACAACCTTTGTATGTTAGTCACTTCCCTACCAAGCTTCTAATGTGGTACAACATTTTTTACACACACGGGCAACAACCTCCCCTTCACAATTCACATGTTTGTTCCAGGCTCGGCACAACTCCCCCTTAAATAGACACCTTTACTCTCAAGTCACAAAGTCGGTAGCACTAGCACCACTCCACATGAACTCTAACTTCACATCACATTAATCAACCTTTAGGGCCCACAATTGCATTTGCTCTTGTAGCCTAGCTCTGATACGATTTGACGAGGAGAGGCCACCAATACCCAACATGGTTCCGTCCTAAAACCATATGCCAAAACAAGGGAGTAACCCACAAACCGTACATGCCACTACCTTCCTACCTATCTTCGGATGTGGGAAATTTTTTCTCCACAGTTCACACACATGGGATATATCCTAACATCGCACGAGCTCTAGCCTCTAGGAACCCGGTTGCCTTAATACATCTTGAGTCTTTTTAAACACTGATTATGACCTAATGCCTACTAATCTAGAAAATAGCAAGCACTTATTTTATCCACTCTGAAATTTTCCCAACACAAAACCAAGAGGCAAGAGAAATCCAACCCATGTATTATAACCTTGGAAACCGCAACACCCGAACCAAATTTCACTTATTCAACCCATAGTATACAACAACATGAGAATGTAATTATTTTCACATTCTGAAAAAAAAAAAAAAAAAAAAACTTAATTGCATAAGCATATTTCTAAGACATCAACATACACTAAACCAAGCATGATCGACAGTAAAATTCTCGAGAAATTTAAGTATAAGTAAACAAAAATAAAAAATTGGGAAAAGGAAAAACTTGCATGTTCTTAAATTACCAATGATTTTCAATTAAAATTGCCAAAATCGTAACTTTATTCTAAATTAAAAATCCCACATTTAACTTAAATCAATCTTTCGATTTTTCAAGATAAGATTTTAGATTACCCATTGAAATAGCGAAGATAAATCAATAAGCATAATTTGTTGACAGTTACAGAAAAAAAAAAAAAAAAAAAAATAAATAATAATAATAATAATAATAATAATAATAATAATAATAATAATAATAATAATAATAATAATAATAATAATAATAATAATAATAATAATAATCTAATGTAATTGAAAATGAAGAATATAAAAATTATGAGGACGAACCTGAGTGGAAGTAGCCGTTTAGCTGGAGGTTTAGATTTTGAGAATAAAAAGCTCCTCCGGAAATTGATTTTGCGGTTGATTTTATTTTGTAAATATGAGATGCTTGTTTGCTCCTGCCTTCCTTTCACCCTTACCAAATAAAATCAAAATATTTTTTTATTAATTTTTTTTTAAATGTTCTGAATAAATTTATAATCAAGTAAAAATAATAGGATTTTTTTACTTTTATCACCCAAAAAAAACAAAAAATTGTTTTTTACCACCAAAACTTCTAAACTTTTATTTTAAAAAATCGAGAATATCCCTCTCTCAAAAAATAAATTTTTTTGTAAAAAATCGAGAATATCTCTTTCCTATAGATGGTAGAAAAGGGTAACTTCCTTTTTTTTATTTTAGTGCTCGGTTTAAAATTTTAAACCCATGTGATCCATTGTTTTTTTTAAGTACATATAAGCATTGTTATTAAAATCCCGATTTAAATCTTAGAATCTTACGTTACAATTTATGTATGTCATACGATTCGATTTACGATTTATATTAATAACTAGATTAGTGCTCGTGCGTTGCACGGTAGTGATAACCTTTTTTTCCATAATTAATTTATGATATAATATAAAAATGAGGCAGCTCATGTGGAACAAAAAAATGCAATGTATATAAGAAAAATGAAATAATAAGGCAAAATTTATTAAAAAAAAATAAATTATTAGTTGTGTTGAAAATATTTTAAAATAGTGTACATTATATTATATTAATGATGCATGTTATTCCCAATAAAACTATACAAGGTAGATGTCGTATGATTTTTTATAAATGCATTAATTTAGTCCCAAAAAAAAAAAAAAAAGAACTATACAATGTACTTCCATAAAATAAACTTAGTAGAATAATTTTTTTAAAAAAAAACTTGAAGCTGACATCATATATTTTATTGGCGAAATTTTTTTTAATGATAGCTTGATATATGCCCAAAATGATCAATGTAAGCATGACCTGTTTTAGTAATAGTTAATAGATTTTTGAAGGGGAAAAATGTTATAAATTGGTAAATTATTATAGAAATATTTAACAGAAAACTCACTTAATTGTTATTATTTCATAAGATTTCAAATTAACACCATGAAAAGAAATGTTTTTTGTTTTCCCTATTGAATTCCATTATTGTACAACTATATAATGGTAATTTAAATGTTAATATTGTATTTTTGGCCCCGTTATTTTATACTCTCCATCATATTTTAACCTTCTAAATTATAGTTTATTCTCCCTTAATTAAAAGTTCTCAAAATTTTGTGTAAATATTTTAAGTAAATAGAATACAAAATAAAATGGAATACAATTATTATAAAGAAAATATATAAGGTTAGGAATAATATATTATTATTGTTGTTTATCCAGATATTCCAAAAATAAAAGATTTTTGCTAAAAAGGGAGAGGGGAATTTTAGAAGGAAAAAACAGCACCAGGAAGTGATTCCTGGTTTTTGTTTTAGTATTATGTTATTGATTGATGATTAGGTTTCAAACTCATAATTTAAATATATTTATTTAATTTTGGATGTGACGTCTTGATTATGCATGTTGGTAGAATCTTACAATTCTACGATTTGATTTTACGATTCGATTCTGAGAACCCTTTCCAATTCAAAGTAGACTCCGATTTTAATAACTTTGGTATGTTGTTGTGATCACTATTGTTATTATTATTATTATTTGTCTAAAATCGTATTAACTTTTCTTTCCCTATTAAAAGAAAAATAAAATAAAATAAAAAAACTAACTTTTAATCTCACTCACTCAATTTGAATACTTGTGTGTGATGCTTCAATTGCAACTTTATCCCAAAATCAACTTAACTCATACACGGAATATAATACATCAATATTTTTTTCATAGTTTGAATTTATAATAGATTTTTAAACATAGCAAAAGAAAAGTAAATGAAAATAGTATGGTAGAGGGGGGTGTACCATGTGCATGGTACACCCAGAAGTACATCACATATAAATAAAAGAACATTGGGATAAATTTAATGTTCTTTTATTTATATGTAATGTTATTTTTTTATGAAGCCTCATTTATATGTAATGTTCTTTATTTTATATGTAATGTAATGTTCATTTTACCCATTCATTTTCTCTCTCGCTCTTTGATACTCTCTCTCCTCTCCCTCTAACTTCTTCTTCCATTTTATTTCTTGATTTTTATAGTTTTTATGTGCTTAATTCATCACTCACAAACACATTTATACTAGATTTTACACTCCAAAATCCGAATTTCACAACCAAATTTTCGGATTTTTCATGATTTGAGAATTTTAGGTATTTTTTATTTTGGCTAAAAAAACTTGCAATTGAGTGTTCAACTTGCTTGATTTCCATTATTAATTCACTTTACAAGGGTTTTCTACTCATTTGAGGTATGACTTCTCTTTCTTTGTTCATCTTTGTTCATCTTCATGAATATGAAACCCTAGGTTGTGCTTCAATAGTAAACTCTCTCTTTGCTTGTTATTTTTATATATATTTTGTGTTTTGTGATAATGTTTGTTGTTCATATAAAGCTTTATTATCATGAAATTACTTGATTGTTTGAATTTTTGGCACTACCATTGTTGTTCATCATCTTCTTTCATGGGTTTGGGTAGTAGCATTTTTCCATTATTTATATGTAACGTTCTTTTTCAGAAAGATAATGTTCTTTTATATTTATATGTAATGTTATTTTATTTTTAAGTTATGTTCTTTTATTGTATGTAATGTTCTGTATTTTTTATGTAACATTCTTTTTGATGTACTCTATGTTCGTTTGTAATGTATAATAAATTATTATACCTATGAACTTTTTTATTTATAAGTAATGTTCTTTTATTTATATGTAATGTTCTTTTATTTATATGTAATGTTCTTTTATTTATATGTAATATTCTTCTATTTATAGGTAATGTTCTTTTATTCATAGGGTGATGTTCTTCCGGGTGTACCATGCACATGGTACACCCGGGTGTACGAAACAATTATTGGTAAATGAAAATATATGATAAGGGTTTGTGTATGTATTTTATTTTAAATAAGATTCATACTCAAAATCTCTAAGATCATATGTAGAAATGTTATCAAGTGAGTCAAACTTTACTTGATTATTTGTTTAAGTGCACAAATAGTACTTCCGTTATATATTAGTTGCAACTTTAAAATATTTTATATCTGACAAATAATACCTCAAACTCGCAACTAATACGTACTTAACAGAGGTGGTAGATAGTTTTATAGATAAAAAATGCTATTAAAAACAAAATTTGAAATCTATACTCCCATGAAGGAGTAATAATGTTTTTCAAAAAAAAATCATGAAGGAGTAATACTTAAGCTAAGGGATGTAACTCATGTAAGATCAAATTATATAACTTCAAGGATTAATTTGATAATAACACTACAAAAAAGACACGATTTTGATAATAACACCAAAAAAAAAAAAAAACTTTTTATTGTAACACTACAAAAAAAACTAAAAATTTGATTTCACCACCACTTAACGGATTCTTGGATGGAATTGGTTAGTGGGGCCCACAACAGACACTTGTCACTAAACTATTGGTTTAAAAAAAATATAAAAAAAAAAAAAAACCCTAAACAACCTAACCAGGCCCAACCCCACCAGCGGCACCACCTGTCCCCCACCGCCGGCACTCCTGCCCCACCAAAATCAGCGAAACCCACCGCAAATCACCACCTACCCACTGCAAATCACCACATCCCTCAGCAACAACAACTTCACCGTTGAAACCCCATCCAATTCGAAACCCCAACCGCCGAATTGAAACCCTAGCACCTTCGAACCACCGCAAACACCAACCACAATCACAACCAATTCGAACCCCATCACCTTCGAACCACCGCTAATACCAACCACAATCCACCGGATCGGTGCGAATCGGTATTTTCGGTGGTTCAAAGGGGTGGAAATTGGTTTTGTGCAGTGGCAGAGGTGGTTGCGGGGTTGCTTGGTGTGAATTTGTGGTTGGAGATGTGACGCTACGCGGAGCTGGGATGGTTTTTGGGGAGGGGGAAGAGAGTAAGGGCTGGTTTTGGCGGTTTTGGTGGGGGCTGGAGGTTCCGGCGACTTGGATTAGGCTATCGGCGCGGCTGGGGAAAGGTGGTGCCGGTGGTGGAGCTGGATGGGTTTGGGTTTAGGGTTTTTTTTTTTTTTTTTTTTTAATAATTTTTTTTAAAACCAATAGGCATTTGACACATGTCAGTTATGGCTCCATTAACGGATTCCATCCAAAAATCCTTTACGAGGTGGTGAAATCAAATTTTTTAGTTTTTTTTGTGGTGTTACAGTAAAAGTTTTTTTTTTTTTTTTTTTTTTTTTTTTTTTTTTTGTGTGGTGTTATAATCAAAATTTAGGTTTTTTTTGTGGTGTTATTTTCTGAAATTTCCTAACTTCAAACATATTTATAAGTGTTTTTTAAGTGTAAAATTTATGGTAAAATAATGATAACTTTTATACTCCCTCTGTCCCAGAATACATGACACAGTCAACATTGCACACATGTCAATGCACTAGTTTGACTTTATTTTTATATGATTAAATATTAATGAAAATTATTTTAAAAAATTATATTAATAGTTTGATACCTGTAAAAATATATTTTTATTATATTAGTAAAAAAATTATGGTCAAAGCTAATACATGAATAGTGAAAAAAGTTCAACGTCTTATATATTCTGGGACGGAAGAAGTATTAGGTAACTTTAAATACTTTTAGGTGATTGTGTTTTAAAATAAATTAATGAAAGTCCGCCTTATTCCAAAATTTGTGTTGTTCAATATCTTTCAAAATTTTGCAACCATTATACATGCTAAATTGCTCATCATCGATATAGTGATTACTTAAACTGCTTCGAGCTCCACTCTTAGCTTGGGCCTAGAAGATTATTGCCACTACAATACACAGGAACTAAGTCCAAAAATTAAGTTGGGTTTGAGAAGGTATTGACCCAGCATGATAGCCATTGGCAACGGATGAGTAAGCCTGAATTTTTACAACATGAAATTGAATACGACAGTGAATTGAGATCTTGTTTGGTATGATAGAAAATATTTTCAATAAAAAATAATTTTAACTTATTGAAAATAATTTTCTTAGGAGATACATAA